AGGAAGGTATAAAAAAAAATGACTGAAATGTTTTATTGAGGAAGTTAACTCACCTGGAGTAAACTCATTTGATTTTCTGTGGAGAACTGTTCTTTTTTGTACAGCTCTTCTCAAAGAACAGCAAAAGAAAAAACAAACAAACAAATAACAACAAGAAAAACAAGCCAGAACGTATAGAGCCAAATATGTAAAAGGTTCAGTAGCTGAATGCAATTCTTTAATCTGATACTAACATTGGAAACAATACACAAATGGATAGCTCTGTTTTGTTAGTTCCTGCTCCCAATCTAGCCACCCCTTTCACTGATTATTTTGGAAGGCTAAATACTCTTCTCAAAGGCTGCCATTGATTAAAACCAGCTTAGAAAACTCTAAGCACTTCTGTGACAGCCAGTTTATAAGGCCTGTCAGAAAACCTGTCTACTTACCTTTTAATGTTGTTTTAACCAAAAGTGGCACTACCCTTTTTGGCATTAGACTTCACTTTGAAAAACTTTAGACACTGTGTAAAATCACAACCACTTTCCACAGAAGACTGTCATCAGTTAACATGTTCACATAGAAATACCCAGGCATAGGGTTGGCAGAGTTAGCAAATAAAAATATAGGATACCCAATTAAATATGAATTTCAGATAAATAATGAATACTTTTTTTTTAAGTATACATATGTTCCATGCTTATACTAAATTCATATTTAACTGGGCACCTATATTTTATCTGGCATCCCTACCCAGACATTGAAGATAATTCTAGAAGAAGAGTTTCTGACACTGCTTTGTATACTGGTGGCATTACAGGACTAGACTACAGTCTCTCAAGGCAACTACCGTGAGATTTTTTTGTAAAAAGAGGATCACCTTATCTTATTGTCAGCCTTCATAACGTTATAGCCAAGAAAAGCACATGTTAGGAGGTAACAAGCCATAAAAAGTATGTGGATTTCATTAGTCTTCATTGTTTATAACACCTTGACCAATCTCTTATATTAGTGAATAAACAGTTCCTTGTAATCTCTCTAAAATCAACCTATGCTTTTTTAATGAGTCAGATCAACTTTAAAGAGAAACATACTTTATTGAGGTATGAATGACATGTAATAAACTGTACATATTTTATGTATACAACTCAATGAATTCGGGCCGATCAATTGGCTTTATTCAAATATCATAGGGAACAATGAATAAAATAAATGGGAAGTTGTACTACCATAACAACAAATGAAAAGGGGAATTCCCCACTGAAGATTTACCTTAACTTTGACCAGTTCCTGGTCTTTTTTCCTTTTATTACCCTGGTGGAGAGGTGTGAGATTACCTGAGGAAGTACCCCAGTGCCTCTCATGTTTGTTTAACCATCGTCTAGTAATAGCAGCTCATCATTACATAATCCAAGCAGTAAACGCCATTAGCACACAGACGGTTTATAGAAATGAGAGGGCTGAGGCTGTGATGCATGAGGCATGCAGTCAGGTGTTTTGTGTCCTTTCAAGTATTTTTCTAATGCTTATTACACAGTCACTTTTTTTCCTGACACAGTGTGCCTTCTATACTCAACATGAATTTCTTTTGAATCATTTTTCTTTGTGCTTTCAGTAATTTCCAGTTTTATTTTTAAAAGTGAAGTTACTTTTCTGTACAAGAAAATCAGTAGAAGAATTTTGTGAGCAAGCAGGAAAGGCAATTAGGTTCTCATTTGGTCAATAGTCTTTTCATAACAGAGTTTCTTTGGCCAATTATTTTTTCAAAAAATGTATGTTACTGAGTACAAAGTGAGATGCTTAAAGTTGGAAGAAAATTGAGAATTATTACTGCTTTTGCAAGTCTGAGTCTTGACCTGAGGATGGAGAATAATTGGAACGTTGAGGATGGAGAATAATTGGGGCGTTAAAGATGAAAGAATTGCTAAGAGGTTCAAAGAAAACAATCAAATGAAAAAGAAAAGAGAGAGTGAGGGAAACAATTATTAACTACGAAAACCTAATAGTTACATATGAAAGTCAATTTCTTCTTAATACACTATGTGACTTGGCTGTGAATAATATTTATATCATTATAATAAAATATATACTGATTTTTTTTCTTTAACAAAAAGTTATAATCGATCGCTATTGGGAAAATTGGGGATAGGAAGTGTGTGCATATCTGCGTGAAGGTGGAGAAAGAAGGGAGCCTGGTAATGGTACCAAATATACAGTTTCCCTGGTAAGAAGTTAATAGAAAATACCTAACCCTTAAAACATCAAGAAATTGCTATAGTACATAGTTAACTTAGAAATATGGAGGTCAATACTAGAGGAAAAAGCTCAAAGAATATAAAGTGGTTTTTCTGGGGAGTAGGAATCAGGAATTAGGATACCCATGGAAAGGGATATTGCTTATTTAGTTATAAGCCTTGCAGTACTATTTGACCTTTTTACTCATATACACGTATTAGCTTAATAAAATTAAAATTTTAGTAAAATCAAGATCCCCCTAAACTAATATCAAAAATTTTAAAATGGTAATAAGTCAAAAAAAGGAGAGGATTATTTCGGGCAGGATATGAAACAAGTTTTGTGAATAGATTTTAGGACCATAACCTGTGCATGAGGATGGGACTTCCTAAATTTTGATAATGGTACTAGGTCTGCCTTAGGAGATTCTAGGTATAACTTGGTTTCCTTCTGTTCAGTTCTTTCTTGTTACTTGTTGCGAGTGAACAGCATTGACTCTTAGTGGACTGCAGACCGCCGGCCTTAACAAAGCTAACATGTCTAGGTCTATCGCATTCCGTTTTTCTAGAAATAAACATGGGAAATAAACATAAAGTTTTGGACCTTGTGGGTCCTTTTCTGATCTTAGAGTAAACTGGAAATTCATGCCTCTTTCCTTTCTTTGCTCTTTTTAAAAAGGTGAAGGAGATTCTGTTGGTGCTTGATGGGGAGAGCTTTTGCCAGATTAAGCATGTGGGGTGCTATGTAAATTGACAATACAATCAGCTTAATGAGACTCTGCCAACTTTCAGAATTGTTCAGTCCAGCTTCAGATTTCTGGAGATAAGAGAAAACTTAGTCTACTAGGCTTAGACTTAGGTTTAGATTGGGTTGCAGGTGCTTCCCACTTGGCTAGCAAAATCTCTTTAACTGCTAGAATTGGAAAAGCAGCCCGGGCTGAGCTAGGAGCATTTCTCATAGCTGTGCTAGGCCAGGTTTCCCCCAGGAACCAATTATCCTTTGACATCAAATACCCACCGGCCAGTGAAAGTTCTAACACACCTCGTGGTCCAGGTGGCTGCCCTTAGGAGAAGAAAGAGGCAGCGGAGATACAGTGCCAGTGAGCAGAGCCCTTGCAATGTGGGGTTATGTTCCTTCTTTTATGTCTTTACAAGAAAAGAAATTTGGAGTGTTTATTTGCTGCTATTGGTCCTTCTCCTCATCTTAGAGGCTCTGGGCCCATTTGCTGCAGTATAAAGGCAATTGTGCTACTTCTGTCACAGAGGGGACTGGACTGGGCCCTTCCCCAAATCTCCAGTGATAGCCCATGTCTCATAGAGCTTGAGAGTCAAGTACAGTTTGCTGCTGGGGTGCCACATTCAAAAACATCTCCCTTAGACATTCCTAGATCTCAGGAGAAGTAGAAGCACACCTTATGTTAAGCCCAAAATGTAAAAATTGAGTCATAAAGTAACTTAGCAAATGGATATCTGCTTTGAGATAGGTGACTTTACAAAATATTTACCATAGGATATGTTAAACTATTAGATTGACAAAAAATTTCATATATAATAATCCTTTTCAGACATATATAGGACAATAGTGCTAGGGCTGGATATAAATGCTAACTAAAAAAAAAAAAATCACAGCTATACTTTATGGATGATTTTCTGCTATTACAGATTTTTTTTTTTGCTTCCTACCTAAGTCCTATTTATACAACTAGACTAAATAATGTCCTTGAAGTCAAGGAATGTGTGACACATTTCTTTTTATCTCAGTTCCTAACCTATATCTTATGGTACTCAATATATGCTGTGTACTAATGATGACATTTACAAATACTTCTTGCTATATAAAATATTGATGAATTACCATCATAAAAATCTGAGTTAGATTAAGGGATTTTAGGTCATCTTCTTTTTGCTTATCTGCATATTCTAATTTTTCTATGATGATTGGGGGTGGGGGAGAATCTCTGCCCTCAACAATATTCTTCCCTCTTAAAGGGAAAGGGGTCACAAATGTACTTGAATGTGATAATAAAAATAAATAAAACAACCAAAGCTAACTTCTATTGAGCACTTACTACATGCCAGGAACTGCTTTAAGCGCTTTACATATATTAGCTCATTTAAACCAAAAAATGATTCTTCTAATCACAGATATCTCAACATTGTCTAGAGAAACATCCTGTGCTCAAAAGCTGGGTTACTTCCTGATTTTGTGTAAGCGGATCGACGTATTTTATGATTTGAATCATAATGATGCAGTAACACTTGTACATTCATTTGAAAGACTTTAGGGGAATGGTCACTATATTGGCACAAAGGTGTGCCTTCACTCATAATAACAGTAGGTATCATAAGTAGAAGTGCAAACAAACTAAAGAAATTGTTTCTTATGATTAGAGATTTTGAAACAGAGTCAGCTGGTTTTCCATGTCACTGCTTCATGACATGAAGAGATTTTGCTCACTAGATAATAAATCTTCAAGTACTGCCCTGAATAAGTCATCTTATGAAGCACAGAGTGATCACACATACACTTGAAATGACTCCACTTAAAGTGAAAAACAACCTGTAACATACAAGGTTTTTGAGGTTGGCCGTCTAGCCCATCAGGCAGGCAGCAGAAGCTAGTTTACCCTACCTGTGATTCTCTAGTGTCTCCAGGGAAGCAAAAATCATATGTAATGAAAGCAAAGAGAAGTCAGTGTCAGCCCAGGGCCAACCCTTCACCCCACCCAAACCAGAAAAGCAGGAGCCTAATGCCATGGAATGTGCTGTGCTTCTTCCTCCTATCAGCCACCAGCTGGACTTACAACTTCCTGAAGTATTCTGAAACTCAGGGAGAATGAAGTTGGGAGAAAAGGTCACACTGCACTGCCAGAAACTGGAGCAGTCACTGCAGGTACAACAGAATCTGTCATTTTAAAGAATCTATCACTTCGTTACTAGTAAGTAATGAAACCAATTACACCTGTTTAGGTTGGCCTATTGCCATTCTAGAACGTCTCTCCCCTCTGGCCCAGAGTGAAGAATAGGCACTACAGAGGGAAGGAGCAAGAGTGGCTTATGTTGGCAGAAAGGAGAATTGGAATTTTGGAGCTGGGAATTCTTCACACCTTCTACTTCTTGAAGAGGAAACAGAGGCACAGAGAAATTCAGAGACTTACCTAAGGTCACACAGCAGAGTCAGTATTGAAATCCAGACCTTTGGACTTTAAGTTCAATATGCTTTCACTTGGGACATTACCTTTTTTTTTTTTTTTAAATAAAACAATGTAACATTTCAGAAAATTTGGAAATTTTAGCATTCATATTTATTTATTGAATGTCTACATGTACTGGGTTCTGCTCTAAACAAAACAATGTCCCTGTCCCATAGAACTAACATGTCAGTGGGCTAGACATAGAATGCATAAATAAACAAGTAATATACCATAGTCCCCAACCAATGTGGATAATTGTTTATGAATAAAGGCCCTTATGGGAAGAAAATGTAACTAACATTGATTTCAATAGGAAAAAACATTTTTTTCTCTTGAGTCCCCAAATTAACACCAATTCTATTAAAATAGATATAGTTATATCAGTTATAAGATAGGTAAACAATTATCATAGGATGTATGTCTATACTCACAGAGCATCCATATGATACCCGGTGTTTATGTAATTAAATGTTTAATGCAAAAAGAAAAGATGGAAAATAAAGATTAAAAATGTGGATGATTAAAAAGATTTTTAAAGGATTAAAAATGATTCAAAGGATGAATATCTTCTTGAGCACTTTAAAAGAAGAAACTTAAGACAACTTGCCTGATTTCTAGGACTGCAAGGATGACACACAGGCACTTATGCTGAAGGTGCTCAGTGGCTTCCTAGCCCAAGAGATCCAAACCCATGCTCTAAATGTGAAGAATGCTCAAAAGCTGAAGTGGAAGTATTAAATAAAAATGATTAGGTCAACTTCTTCTAACATACCCCATCCCTCTAACCCCCAACAGAGTTCTATACAGGGCAGGACTGAGTAGTATAATGGCAGGTAGTGATAAATGGTAGGGGAACAAACAAAACATATAATACTATGTATATGTATATCTATATCCATATGATATGTTATGTATAATATGTACATTTCCATATATATAATAAAAATAAAATATATACCAAGAGGATAGGGAATAATGGGGATGGAGCAGGAGGGTCACATCTAATACAGAATTAGGGAAAGGAAGGTCTGACTGATCAGAGGTGACATTTCAATATAGCTATGAATGACAGGCGAGAATGAGCCATGGAACTATCTAGGAAAAGAACATTTTGGCAAGAGAACAGTAAGTGCAAAGGCCCTGTGGTAGAGGTGGATAGATATGCTCAAAGAATGGCAAGGAGGCTGGTGAGAGGGAGCCCAATGAGGGAAGGCAAAGTGGTAGAAGCTGGTGTTGGCCAGGTAGCCAGGTGCTCAGTTAGGGAGAGCCTTGCTGGCTATGCTCAAGATCTGAGTACTTTGGGAGCTAGTGGAAGATTTTAGTGCAAGGAGTGATACAATCAGATTCATATGTGAAAAACGGACTATGGGTCATGGAGATAAAAAGAGAATATCATGGGATTTAACTGAAAGAAGGAGATAGCTCGGGTTAGGGTTACAGTGGTACAGGGAGAAGTAGTTATATAGTATTTTAGTTGTATTTTGAATATAAAGCCAACAGGATCTGCTTTGAGTTGAATGTGAAACATCAGAGTAAAAGAGGAATCAGTACTATTAATAACAGCAACAGCCGACAGTAATTTAATGTATACTCTGTGCCAGACTCTATGTGCTTTTCATGTATTAATAACAACAGTACTACTGTCTTTCTAGTGCCTTCCTTATGCCAGATTCTAAATGCTTTAAGATACATTCACTCACATCTTCACAACAATTCCATAGGGTAGGCATTTTTATTTTCATTTTTGGATGAGAAAACTGAGGCACAGAAAAGTTTGATGGTTTATGTAAGGATGGCCCAGATAGGAAATGGTAGAGTTGAGCTTTGACCCAGGTAATCTAGCTGCAGAGTCAAGATTTGTAACCACTGTGCACAAAACATCTTGTGATTACAAAGTTTTGACATGGGGTAATTGGGTAGGTGATGGTGCCATCGACTGACACAGGAACGTATGGGGCCAAGCAGCAGGTTTGGGGAATGGATATCGGGTTGGGGTTTGGCAATACAAAGTTTGAGATGCCTATTAGACCTTCAAGTGGAGATGTGTGACCACTGGATGTAAAATATCCAGAGTTCAGGGGAGAAGTCAGAGCTGGACAGAGCTATGTGGAACGATCAGCATGTAAATGGAATTTAAGGCTAAGGGAATGGATGAAATCACCTTCAGTGAGTGCTTTGGAGAGGACTAACCCCTGAGACACTCCAACATTTAGAGTTCAGGAATAGAAGGGAGCTCCTGCAAAGGAGACTGGGAAGGAACAACGTGTGAGGCAGGAGGAGAACCAGAATGTGCTGGAAGCCAAGAGTTTCAAGAAGAGGACCATCCACTCTGAAATGCTGCTGAGAAGTCCAGTAAAGCAAGGATGTGTCAGTCCTCATGATGCTGAGTTTAACTGCTGAATACAGTTCCTTCAAGTGGAGGAGTCCTTTTATTATTTACTCTCACATTTTCAGTTCCCTCTGCAGATAGCTCACTAAGTAGAGGAATAAAATTCATTGACTTCAAGTTACACCGTTAATTTGAGTTCAAATTAAATGCCTCTGGGGCACCAGAAACATAGAAGTAAGCAAATCACTGATTTTTTGCTCTTGAGAATAGACCAGGCCAGAAGGAAGAGGCATTGGAGAGGGCAAGAAGAGGAGGAGAAAGACTAAGAAACAGAAGAGAAGGAAGAAGGAGAAGACATTAAGGATATTGATATCTGGGGGTTGCCTGATGAAGTTAGCCAGAACCCCCCACAGAAAAGCCCCGAACAGTCATGAGTCACTTAACGATGGGGATACGTTCTGAGAAATGTGTCTTTAGGTGATTTCACATCATTGTGTGGACATCATAGAGTATACTTAAACCTAGATGGTACAGTTTACTTCATACACACCTAGGCTATGTGGTGCACCCTATTGTTCGTGGGCTACAAACCTGTACAGCATGTTTCTGGACTGAATACTGTAGGCAGCTGTAACACAATTAAAAGTATTTCTGTATCTAAACATACCTAAACATAGAAAAGGTACAGTGAAAATACAATATAAAAGATAAAAATTGTACACCTGTATGTACAGGGCACTTGCCATGAATAGAGCTTGCAGGACTAGAAGTTGCTCTGCGTGAGTCAGTGAGTAAGTGGTGAGTGAATGTGAAGGCCTAGGACATGACTGTACACTGCTGCAGACTTGATAAACACTGTACACTTAAGCCAACTAAATTTATTAAAAAATGTTTTCTTTACTCAATAGTAAATTAACCTTAGCTTACTGTAACTTTTTAACTTTATAAACTTAAAAAATTTTTTAAACTTTTCCACTCTAATTACATTTAGCTGAACACAAATACCTTGTAGAAAAATATTTATATCCTTCTTCTGTATTAATAGCAGTGAGTAATGCATTATTCTACAACGTTACCACGGCTACAGCATCACTAGTGATAGGAATTGTTCAGATTCATTATAATCTTATGAGATCACGGTTGTATATGTGGTCTGTTGTTGATCAAAAATGTCATTATGTGGCGTATGACTGTAGTTGACAAACCTCCACTCAATGACCCATCAAGTATGAGAGGAGAATAAAGGCTTTTTCAGGCATGCTGGCTCTCAAAAGAATTACCTCCTGTAGACTCTTTCTCAGGAAGCTACTAAATGGTGCGGACAGCCAAGACAAAGGAGCATACCAAAGAAGAAACGTGAGATTCAGATAATAAGAGGTCAACTGGATAAAGACCAAGAAAACCTCTGGAGTATGATAAACTGAGATCCCAAGGCAATAACTGTGTAGCAGGTCTAGAGAGCAAACAGTCCACAGTGATTACGTGATGTATTGAGACATACTGAGTGTTGATTTACACTCTTG